TGACTGAACTGTTTCACATACAGTTCTCTTAGATCCAATGCAACCTTTTTGCAGAATACTTGCTTAGAGCCTCTTCATTTAATAAGGCTAGTTTTCTTCAAGCTCAGAAATCAAAGAAATTCACTTTTTTTTTTTCCTTTTTTTTTTAAAAAAAATATCTTAGCTTCCAAATTAAAATATAAATGAGTGATTGTAGGTGGCTGTGCCTCTGGAACATCCTCTGCAGGATACACTCAGTTTGCCACTGCGAGCAAGATGCAAACTCCGAAGCCACCTCTCTTCTTTGTAACTAAATATTTAGCTCCTCCAAGTATGCACTACGACGTCTCAGGCCAATTCAAATACCATAGCGTGGGTCTTTTTCTGGCCCCACAGCGTGCTCTTTAACAGGACTCGGAGGGGAGGAGGATCGAACGCTTCGCAAGTAAACATAGCTGGAAGGATGGGAGGCAACTAGCATTCTTCTTCTTCTTAATCATAATTACGAAACATTAGGGATGAAAAATATGGAAGCAGTTGCCTTTGTGTATCTATGTAGCAAGCGTTTTCCAACGGGCGAACCAAGAGAGGAGTGTTCCGAAGCAGAGCCACGGGCTGGCAGCTCCCGAGCGGGGCCGGGCGAGGGGCCGGAGGGTCTGGGGCTCGGAGGTGCCGTGCCAGCGCGCGGCAGACCTGGAATGCCGCCTGGCAAACAGAGGAGCGTGGTGCGACACGCAGGCAAAGCCAACACCCACGCTCCAGCATCATTTTCTGTCTTTTCTGACATACACCACTGGAAAAAAGGACTACCCTTCAGAGGCACCGCTGCGACTGCAACAGCTATGCACCTACTGCTCCACGTCTCCTTCATTATTAAAACTCCTTTTCTGATCCATATGCTTAAAATCTCTTTTTTTTTTTTTTTCTTTTGAATAGCAGTTCTGCATTATAACCCCAAAACAAATCAGATTCGTCCAAAATCCCCCCCGGTAAAGGGCGCATCCTTCCCCAGCACACACTCACAGTACCTGAGTGCGCACCCTGAGGTGTGCCTACCCCGAGCAGCTACCAAAGCGTTCCCAAGGTGGTATTGAATCCAGTTTTTCTGATCATCAACCAATAATAGCATAATTATGCACCTTTCCCAGAAGGCCACACTCCAGAAATGAACTGTACTTAAAAAGCCGGATTTGGTTGCAATTTACTCACAGAGACATTCAAAGGCAAAAAAGGACTTCAAAACCAAGCTGAATTTGTGATTCCCTAAAGATGTATTAATTTGTCATCGCTGTTATTCTAATGCAGGACAAGCCCTAATCAAACTAATGGCAAAATTAAAAGCAAGTCTTTAAATCCTTTAAACTGACTTAGCTTTATTCAGTGATGTCTGTGCTAGCAAAGGTTTTAGACTGATTTTTTTTGTGTGTGCAATAGGAATGGCCAGTCGTAGGAATTTGGTTATTCTGCTGCTACTCACACCCACACAATATTCAAACATATACATAGTGGGCAATCTATAACAGATGCTTGAAAACTTAGGTAAAATTAAACCCTTAAAATAGAAGCAGCAGAAATTGAACATAGTCAGGAAGATGTGGGCTTTGATTAACAGTTCGAAAACTGAAACACGCCAAATGTGACAGACCTAGCAAATTCTTTAGCATCACCATTGCTGAAAAACTGCTTCAAGATCCATTCCCAAAATCAAGCACCAGCGATCATCATCTTCCTCTTATTTTACAGTGGCTCACACTTAGATTACAACAAACTTTCACCGCAGAAGCTAAGGTAAACTGTTCAGAAAATTCTAGAAGATCCGGGAAAATTAATTTTATTTTGTCAACTGTCCTAAAAAAAATAAATAAAAAAAAAGGAAGGGAAAAAAAAGAAAAATCCCACTGAATTCTAATGGATGTGTATTGTTCAAATCAAGTAACAGGTATTAAATCACTTTACAAATACAATATAAATTTGAGGTAACTGCAGGGGAGTTTTCTTAAAAATAATATCAGTCTTCACCCATTCCCCCTGTTAAGGTCAGAGTCTCTAAACCAGCATGGCTGAATTGTTTTAGTGCTCTCTGCTGAACACCTGCAAACATCAAACAAAAACTCCTGGTCCTTTACTGGGTTGACAAAAGCCTTTCATGTGAAAAATGCTCCATGGGAATGTCACGGCTGTGGCTCAGGTTACATTCCTTTCCCCCTCGCAGCCCTCACCATTTCTTAACGTGGTAAGAAGCCATGTTTGTGAAATGAAAGATTAAAAGGAAATGTGGCTTTACTCTATTTTCGTTCACACATTACAAATCACAATAGAGCATCATCTATTAGAGGAGTAAAAAGCTATTAAGATGACTTTAAGCATGAAATATTACCAGGCTTCCTAAAGTACAGTTAGTT